TTGAAAACTGGATACGAGTGGATTACTAACACTGACTAATCACTTGAACAAAGCGTGTAGACCGGTGACAATAGGGGCGTCGTTAATAACCACGGTGACACATATACTTACAAAATCACTACAGGTAAAAATATCAATCAACACGAGTCTCCTTACCTTTGAGAAGTCCTTTGGCATGGAACAAACGGTCATACGAGGGTGAAATATACTCGAGTCTTGGCAGTTAATCGACACACGAACACACAACACCAAAAAAACCCACACCGTGCAACTGGCCGTGTTTATATGTGAGGAGTTGGATCCTCCCTCGAGACGCTGCTCTATAGCTCGTGTTACCGGGGAGACTCAATCTGTTATACCTACCTGGTGGAACTTCATGCCGTCCTTGAAGTGTGTTTGCAATCAAGGCCGCATAAAACATATCTTGACGTCACGGTACTGCGCGTGTCACCCGGCTGGCCAATGTAAACCTCGATAATTGAGTGACGTTTTTAAATCCGGGTGTGTTGTGAAGGCGCTGGCTCTCCCTCTCCCTCTACGTGATCTGGAATGATGATGGTGATGACACAGCCTCCAAGCTCAGGTGTAATAATTTGGGCGGCGAGGAGAGAAACGTGTGATATTTTGGGTCGAGGATAGAGGGAGTATAGCATTTTTCATGCAGAGAAGTGAGGCTATACAGTATAATGAAATCAGAGCCACGAGTCAAGTTGAAATCCTTACTCTGGGACACGCTATGGCCGCTGATTTTTATTTACTTTTGAGAGAGAGAGAGAGAGAGATAATAATAATAATTATTAACGGTTTATTGAAAGAGCTTGGCAGCCAGAAGGCTGAAAATATACAGTTACATATTTGGGGAATGGGTTTTGAATTACAAATAATATACAAGTAACATATGACACAAATAGACATATAATAACTAGATGAAAAGCTCAAACTACGTGTGTGTGTGTGTGTGTGTGTGTGTGTGTGCGCGTGCGTGCGTGCGTGCGTGCGGTTGTGCGTGCGGCGTGCGTGTTCTCATTAGATTAACAGTTGATAAGATAATTTTTTTTTAGATTTTGTTTACATGTGTATAAGTGGTCTCGACACACTACACACACACACGATAACAGCTGCAATCATATATTCAGCATGTTTTTTTTCTTCTGATTAATATAATTCATTTTGTCACTCCCGAAGAATGTTGAGAGTAATATAGCATTGTTATCTTATTGACCTTCCTCGTATGTGAAAAATTATCATCAAGGGAATAAATTAATGAGTTCTAACATAGAGGTTTTAATTAAAGTTTATAATCACGTCAGTTGTTTTGGCGTAGAGATAAATGATATTTGTTGTTGTAAAAAAAAAGTTAGAGCAATAATGAGCGTGTAACGAACGACTACTATGTCCTGGGTTACTTAGTACAGGTCCCGGGTGTGGCGCATTGAGGTTGGCTGTACTCTGATGGACGTGTTTGTCCACGTGCAGTTCCATCAAAACATCATTGGAACTTTGAGGTGTTGATTCGGTGAGGTTAGTTTAGGTTATATTAGATCATGGTTGAACTTGGCATGCCCAGAATATTTTCAGCACGTGATAAGGCCAGCACAGGTGTGGAAGGTTTAGGGTGTTGTTAGCCAGTGTGACTTTACCAAATATCATAGGTTAATTAATTCCAGGTACTATAGTTCCTCCTTTAACACTTTACAATAAAGATCATAATGATATACCAAAAAACGGACCGACTTCCTTAATGACTAGTAATAATATGTTAATTGCTGAAAGGAAAAAAAATATATAAATAATTAGCCCGGTTTACCTGACATCATTAACGATCTATGCACGCAGCCACTCAGAATCACTGCCTAAATTTCTCATATATTACCAAACACACAGTAATAAGCCTTACATACACTTAACGGGTTAGTATCTTAAGTGAGACTAATGCCGTTCATTTTGCAAGTCCTTCCCCTAAAATATATTGTTCGTTTTCTATTATTAGTTTGTTTGGTTACGTTTTCTTTCTTATTTTATGGGTAACTAATAATTTTACACGGAAGGGCATATTTCTCAAGGGTGCCAGCTAAAGGGTTTTTTGTCTTTGTGAAGGGCAAGAGATAGGACTGTTAGATTTGAGATAAAGTTGTATATGCTGTTTTTTCACTTAATATGGTGCAATTATTTTACTACTACTACTATTACTCCTCCTCCTGCTAATACTACTACTACTAATATTAATCCTCCTCCTTCTCCTCCTATTTCTGCTCCTCTTCTTGCTCCTCCCTCTTCCTCCTACTATTACTACTACTATTTTTTTAACGTGGCCTCCAGACTCCCCCAATAGCCACACCTTCGCCATCATTTTATTACCTTAAAATTGACTATCCTAATACATAAGTAGCTATCCTATCTGTGTTGAGTTAGTTGAGCCGCAGATCTAAGCGGCATTCAGTGACTGTTGCCTTGTAGTCAATATCTGCAACTGTTGTCGGCTTGGGGCCGATGCTCTCGTTCCCCTGAGGCAGAGCAAAGCAGACCTAAGGAGTGAGAAGGACAGTCGACATCTCAACCAGGCTGTAACATAAATTCATGGCTGCTGCTTCTGTTCAGGTAACACCTCCGCGAGTCTGGCGTAGTCTGGTTGTGAACACCAGAGGAGTGAAGCTGCCTTGATCAACGTTATGAATTCTCTCCCATATTCCCATATCGTGTCGTTATCGTTCCTCCTGTGTGCAGCATCGAGAGCTAAGTTACAGTGACAAGCGGCCATGGGAAAAAAAAATCCTGATGTCGAAGAAGGCTCGCTGTCCCCGCGTCCAGAATCCTCATGCACTGGCCAATTTTGACAAAAACCTTACTATTTTCCCTTGTTTGTGTACCTTTACTAAATGCATATACATGATAAACTAGCGTGTAATTGTAAGGTGATTAAGTTGGTGTAATTATCTAATGCTTATATATCAATCAAACAATCAATCTGTCTATGTAACCTTCTGTCTATATATCTGTCTTATATATCTATCTTATCTATATCTATCTATCTATCTATCTATCTATCTAGGACTTATACATATTGTTTGACATCAGGTTAAACTGAATAAAGAAGATAATTACAGATGAGGAAGATACGGAGAGAGAGGGAGACTATTGAGGGGAGGAAGACATGTCAAATAAGGCTTGTAATCTCCGTAGAGTTTTACACGGGTCATGACACTCGGGAACTTGTAAATAATTAAATATATAACTTAATTGAATATACCATAGCTAGATAATATAGCCTGTGGTTTTAATATAGTGTGGGTTAATTAGGTGGGGTCATGTTAATTAGGATATTTAATTGTTAGTATTTTTTTTTTAATGAAGGGTTGAATTTTGTGATGGATGTGAAGTCTTACCTGCGTTATTATACAGTGGGACCTCCATATAACGAACTCGGACACGCACACGCACGCACGCACGCACGCACGCACACACACACACACACACACACACACACACACACACACACACACACACACATATGAGCCAGATCCCGGCTTTCACTTACTGTGGTCCTGTCATCTATACAAAATCCAGTCTTCCTAACCTAACCTAACCTAACCTAACCTAACTTATAAGTAAACATTAAGAAGGTAACACATCTCTGGTGGAAGATGAGAGAGAGAGAGAGAGAGAGAGTCGTCACGGTAAGGAGGTAGGCAGGGTCGAGGTAGGACATTGGACAAAGAGACCAAGTAAACTCAGAAGTAATTAAAGGAGTCGCTTCCGCCCACCAAACGTCTGGCTAGCTGAAGAAAAAATCACTTCGATTTTATTATTTTTTATATATATACAGAATTAGGAACGGATTTTATTTTTATTTATTCATTTATTTGTTTTTTGATGTTTTTGTTTATTTGTTTATTTATTTATTTATTTGTTATTCTTTGTTAGTTTTGTTTGTCTATAGTTAATTGGCCTCTGTGGTAGTTAGCTTTATCCTTACTTGTTTTACTTGTTAGTTGGTGTTAGTGGGTGTAAATAAATAAAATCAATGGTAAATATGTAAAAAAAAGTGTAAATTATACTTAAACTAAAAAAATGTTGGAAATAATGTAAATTAGATATAAAATTTAATACATGTGTGAAACTTATGTGCAAAAAAAAATGTAAATATCTAGTAAATGAAGTAAACAATGTGATGGTATTTACAACTTATACCAAGGATAATAATTGTCTTTTGTACAGACCTCGTAAAGTAAAAGTATTTATAATTTCTGAATTTGCGACAGAATTATTAAAAATAACTTTGTTTATGTATATAGTTCAGTGAAAATATGAATACTACTACTAATAATAAGACTAATGATGATGATGATGATAATAATAATAATAATAATAATAATAATAATAATAATAATAATAATAATAATAATAATGATAATAATAATGTTAGTAACACTTTATTGGTATTTAAGACGTTACTTATCTTAACACTTTATTTTGCTATTATGTAAACTAGAATTGTAATATTAAATACAAAATACTTGCTATAATATAATGTGGTGACGGTCAACACGAGGTGTGTTAGTGGTCCTCGTGACGCTGTCTGTCACGGGGGACGTCTTATCTCTGACCAGTTAGGTGCTGGGTGTCACTCACAGTTAAGTGGCTGCTGTTAAGTTTTTTTCACTATTAGCCAAAATTAATGACGAAAAAGCTGTCGTTGTTTGTTCCGTATTTATTATTTTGTTCTGGTTGGTGGCGGGGTTGGTGGGTTGGTCAGTAGATGGTAGCGGCGGCCGCGGGAGGGTTAGTGGTGTACCCGCACGCTGACCCTGCGACCCGGACGCATGCGCCACCCAGCGGCAGATATGTTCTCATTGGTTGGCTAACGGCCCGCCCGCGCTGATCACCCCGCCCTCATTGGTTCACGGGGGCGTGACGTCAACACGTGAATCGCTTCGAGCAAGACAGTTGGGCAGCAAGGAAGTGACGTCACGCCCAGTGCAGCGGCTCAAAAACAGTGCCCGTGTTTACTAGCAGTCAGTCACGCACGCACCTGTTGAAGGGTTGAGACGGGCAGCAGGCAACCCTTAGTGGCCCGCGCCCTCTGCACGTGCCCACACGCGCGCTACACTAGGTGAACTGCTCTCGTGTGCTAGCATATTATTGGACAATGTTACCAGGACTGTGCAGTGAGGACTCCCGAGCGGGGGTCACGGGACACTATGTGTTCGGTTCACTCCTGGTCAATGATAACTCCGCCACGCCGTACTCTGACGCCACACAGGTGAGTACTTCTTGTCTGTTGTAGTGAAGGTAATGTGTTGTAGAGAACCCATTATAGTGCGAGGGAGAAATATTTATTAGTAGAGGAAGTAATGTTATTTATTGCTTAGTTGATAACGAAGGACCAGGAAGACGCTGCACGTCGTCAGGTGTTGTCTGTGTAACACCTGACGTTGGGTGTTGGAGCTGTCAGCGGTAGAGTAGTGAGGCCCCCCCCTACAACTGAGTGTCATGTAGATCAGTGACCTCAAGGGGCAGAAAATATGACAATGTAACTAAGCTTGTCTATTAAAATTACACCTTTATATATACAAGTCAGTGAGGCTTTTCATTCGTTTATATGATCGGTTTTTTCCGACTAATAATTAAAAATAAATCAGGTTTGAGTTGTGATAATGTTTTAGTGAGAAAAATTATTTTATACATGATATAATATACAGGGGCGGCAGCGTTTGTTGATACGTGTGAGAGAAGTGTTGGCGCGAGGTGAGTGACCAACACACTCAGAGGCGGCTGGGGGTCACGCTCTGTTCCCTGCCCGAGCCCTGGGTAGTGTTATATATAAATAGGTATGATAATAATAATAGGTTTTAGTCAACAGAATCATTATACACTACACGTTACCAGCATGTTAGTTGGTGCCTGTGAACTCTCGTAAGGAAAACTGAAGTAAAAAGTGATGTAAATATATTGTCATATTAAAACAATTACAATAATGATGAGTACATGATGATTAGAGAACACAAGTGGTGGCCATGTAGCGTTGAGAGATACTCCCATGACCCGCTGTGTGGTGAAGGCTGCTCTTGTTTCAGTCTGCCACAGTTACTTATTAAATCAAATTAGCGCCAGAGTTAATGTTGGCGGGTGGACAGTTGGCTGGCTAGACCTTTGGACACGGTGAGCCGCTGGGGATTGTAAACCACTTTATTCCTTTATTTATAAATGTAAAGATAATATTAAGTGATTTAGTTAAGATATCTATAAAAACAAAAGGACAAACATTGGGTATATTAAGATGTCGTACAGTTTGTTGGTAATTAAAGTTCCTGGCTCTTACCTGATCCAACACAGATTAATTACTCCCCCGCTAGTTAATGACCTTCTGGATCGACAGGTGTGATGTAGTTAACGATAGATAATTGTTAAACCCCAATAAGTGATTAATGAATACTTAATGACCAGGTAAATTATCAAAAAATACCAAGTGTCGTTTTTTTATAGATTTAAAAAGACTTAAACACAGAACAGATTTGGGTATTGGTTAGGTTAGGTTAGGTTAGGTTAGGTTAGGTTAGGTTAGGTTAGGTTAGGTTAGGTTAGGTTACTGTCGCGGGAATAATATTTGTCATGATGAAATAGTGAGTGATCTCTTGTTGTTTGTCTGTCTGTATTTCCCCATAAAGAAATACACACACACACACACACACACACACAGACAATCAGGTGATCTTCTTCCCGACTCTCTTCACGGTAAAAGGGGGGGGGGAGGAGACTGCCAGAGCTTCACGTCTTTTCACTGATATAAACAACAAACAGTACAGTAAAACCTCTATTTAACGGACTCTCTATTTAACGGTCTCTATTTAACAGACCCTCTATTTAACGGACTATTTAACGGACCCTCTATTTAACGGACTCTCTATTTAACGGACTACATGGAGAAGAAATTCCGTTAAATAGAGAGTCCGTTAGATGTGAAAGTTCTATTAAGTGAGGTATGTGTAGAGTGACATGGGAGTGTTGTAGAGCGTGACCAACCCGTAGACTGTGTGTGTGTGTGTGTGTGTGTGTGTGTGTGTGTGTGTGTGTGTGTGTGTCACCATAACCCGTGATTTAGCCTCGATCAAAAGGTCTCCAATGTCACACTTGACAAGCCTTCATAAAGTGTTACCACCACCACCACTGTTACCACTACCATCACTGTTACCACTACCATCACTGTTACCACCACCACAAACAACACTCACCACCTCCACCCCATCACCACCACCACAGTTACCAGAACCACAAACACCTCCACCACTATCACCACCACAAATACCACTACCACCACCACAAATACCACCACTACCACAACTACTACCACCACTACCACTGACACGCAGGAAAAGTAGACTTATATTACTGTAGACTCATTGTAGATTTATTCCTTAAGGCTAGAATGGCTTAGGTAGAGACTCCGGGTGGGTTCGTAGGAGGGAGGGGTGGGGGGGGGGGTAATAATGTGTAAAACTGTAAAAAATGTAAATAAATGAATAATCGGGTCATCAAACCTCCATCTTGTTCTTAGTAAAAAAAATCGTCACTGGAATATTATTTACACTTTGGATGTATAAAAAAATGAAAAGTATATCGAATACCATTAATGTGTGTGGTAGGTGTGTGGTGATGTGTGGCAGGTGTGTGGTGATGTGTGGCAGGTTTGTGGTGATGTGTGGTAGGTGTGTGGTGATGTGTGGTAGGTGTGGTGTGTGGTAGGTGTGTGTGTGGTATGTGTGTGTAGGTGTGTGTGGTGGCAGGTGTGTGGTGATGTGTGGTAGGTGTGTGGTGATGTGTGGTAGGTGTGTGGTTATGTGTGGTAGGTGTGTGGTGATGTGTGGTAGGTGTGTGGTGATGTGTGGTAGGTGTGTGGTGATGTGTGGTAGGTGTGTGGTGATGTGTGATGATGTGTGGTATTGGTGGTAGTTCTAATAGAAGTGGTAGTAATTGTAGTGATAGTAGTAGTAGTTGTAGTAGTAGTAATTGTAATGATAGTCGTAGCATTAGTATTAGTAGCAGTTGTAATTTTGATGATGGTAGTAGCAATAATAGTAGTAGTAGCAGAAATAGTATTAGTAGTAGCAGTAATTGTTGTCATAGCAGCGGCTGTTTTAGTAATACTGGGAACGGATAAATTAATATGATGTTATAATCTTGTACAAAATATTAGGAAAAAACAGAAATTATAAAGAAAGAAAAAGAAATAACATCAACTTATACCGTATATAAAGGTAAGATGTAAAGTAATAGGGTCAGGTCAGGTCAGGTCAGGTCAGGTAAACAGTAGTACAGGTATAGGGGGGTAGGTCCGTGTGGCGCAGGAAGAGGTTTCTACTGTCCGCTGCCAAAGAGTTAGTCATTGTCGCAGCTCTAGAAAGTGCCGTGGTATACTGGTCACTGTCACTGTCCTAGTTAATTAAGGCGGTATTATTTATGTACTTTTCACCTTACTTGAACGTGAATTTTTTTTATTCCTGTTACAATGAGCGAGGTGTGGGAGGGGTCACTGTTAAGTAGATGAACGAAACTCCTAATTCAGTGTGAACGGTGAGGTGTAGGGCGGGTGTTCCTGGTCCCTGAGGCGGCGAGTAGTGGTGCTGGTGTGTCTTAACTGACCTCTTTACTTATAAATGGGCGTTAATAATAATAATAATGATGATAATAATGATAATAATAATTTGTATCATTATTGAAGACCGCCTTTAAGACATTTGTGTGTTGATATGTATAGTAAGTATTATGTTCATCAAACAGCTGTTCAACCTGCCAATAATATTCTCATTTTTGCCAGACGAAGAAACATCCGCCCAACCACGTGAAGCGGCCCATGAACGCCTTCATGGTGTGGTCCCAGCTGGAGCGTCGACAGATAGTCTCCCAGACCCCGGACATGCACAACGCCGAGATCTCCAAGCAGCTGGGGCGCCGCTGGAAGCTGCTCACGGAAGATCAGCGAAGACCTTACCGCGAAGAAGCCCAGCGGCTCAAGATCCTTCACCGCCTGGAGTACCCGGACTACAAGTACCGGCCGAGGAAGAAGAACGCCAGGACGTGCCCGCCTCCTTTATTGAGCCGCGGCGACGCTCTGAGAGGGGTGGCGGCAGGCGGCGGCGGCCGTGTTGGTAAACAACGAGTTCAGGGGCCGACTCACTCACCGCCGGCCAACGCCGCCACCGTTAACAAGGTGCGAGAGTGTCTCCTCGTCTCCAACCTCAAGAACTTAGCAAGGATGAGCAGTCCGCTCAGGTCCCCCGCCACACCGCAGCAAGATAAACCTCAAGTAAAATCCCTCAACACCCGACTACCCAACAGCCCGCCCCATGACCTCCCAGACTCCCCGGAGAGCGCCAGCACCTTTGACGATCGCTCCTCCATAATCAACTGGGACGCAAATTTTGAACAGTGTTGTGACCTGTCCTCCCCTCAGCCGGGTGCCCCCAAGGTAGGGTTTGGCTGGACAAGTGATCTCATAAACTCCTCCGCTGTCTCAACTCAAGATGGCACAGAGTTGCTTCCTGAAGACCCGCCGACACTCGCGGACTTGGACAACATTGGAATGAAGGATCTAGTACCACTGTCCCCCGACCTGTCCTTCGACCTCAACACTCTCAGCTCTGACATCGACTTGTGGGCGGCCACTGAGTGTGACCAGGGCGAGCTGTGTAACCAGCGGGACCTGGCCACACCGCCCACACCCTCAGCTTATGGCGGCTACGACGGGTCACAACCAGCCTGGGACGACGGCATCGATTCTTTTGTAGAAGGTCTACAGATTACCTATCAGCCCCTTCAGGAGGAGGAGTATTCATCCGTGCCTTCGTCAGCTGCGGCGCCTGCGTCAGTGTGGCTGCGTCCTGCCCTAGAGGCGTCTTACTCACTGGGAGACCCTACAAGATGAGCTCCTCGCTCTCTACTTTGCTCACACCATGTTGTTTGGCGAGCTGGACTCTGCCATTTTACTGACCCTCCGTGCACCTCTACGACTCATGTTACGATAAAGCTAAACGTCCGTCAGAGCGACCAGCTGCTTGAGGAGCTACGGAGGACGACCTTCACCGGATGACAATGATCTCAAACTTTGGCCAAACTCTTGAAAATCTCAGATTTCTGCCTCTACTCACCCGGCTCTTATATCCCTTCTGGTAAGTCTTCCCATTGCTTCTGTCTTTACTCTGATGACATCTTGTGAATCTCCCGACAGTCACATATTTCAACACTGGCGTCTCTTGCCCTGGCTCACCTTCTCTTGCTTCTTTACAGGACAAAGAAGAAAGACGCATTTCTTCCGTTGTGTTTGTCCAGAAGTCCCGGGTTCTTGCAGCTCGTGTGCCGCCGCCCTTCCACATGCTTCAACCTCTCTCTCACCTCACCCCCCTCCCTACACACTGACGCCCTCAGGTTGTCTCAGTATATTGGCCACAAGTTCTTATATTGCTGTGATAAAATGTGGAATTCTAGTCTTTCCAGTTTGGTGTAATTTTTGCCGCAGACTGGTGGTGTACGGCCTCATGTAGCCAGTCAGTTATACCTTGACGGCCTCATGTAGCCAGTCAGTTATACCTTGACGGCCTCATGTAGCCAGTCAGTTATACCTTGACGGCCTCATGTAGCCAGTCAGTTATACCTTGACGGCCTCATGTAGCCAGTCAGTTTACCTTGACGGCCTCATGTAGCCAGTCAGTTATACCTTGACGGCCTCATGTAGCCAGTCAGTTTACCTTGGTACTGGAGTTGCTTTGAGAACGTTAACTCGTCGAGATCTGGTTTTTGATGTAATAATCTGATTGTTTACTTGACGAGATGACGATCTGATTGGTAGCCTAGTATAGCCTGAGTGTCCCCCAGAGAACCCGGGCAACCATATGAACCCAGGTGAGCGTGCAGGTGTACCCACAGGTGCCCGTAAAGCTGTTCTCCCAGGTGCTCAACACACGCTCAGTCTCAACCACAAAAATATGGTTCATTTTTTAATGGAGAACAACTGTGTTGTATCCACGTGTACAGGTGTTAATTTTGATAAATTTTTTAAGACGTCATTATTTTACTACCGTATGTAAATAACAGTAGAATATCTTAGGTTTAGCCACGTTGTGAACTGTGTTTTAAGTTGGAGAATAAAAGCCAATATTATGTGTTAAGCAAATGAAGGAAATCTGGAATTTCTGAAGCTTTAATACGTGTTCTTGTGGTGCCACAGAGCTGCCCCAGTGACCACCTCTCCCATGTGTTGTGTACAGTGCGGCCCCACACTTATGACGGATCACGAGGCTTTAGTTACTAATATGTGTTAACTGTTGTCCTGGACAGAACAATGTCACTATGGAAGTAATACTGTACTGTAGTGTTAAGTGACGTCAAACACACACACTGTACAGGTCTTAGTTGTTTGGTGTTGATGAGAGGGGCAGCTCTGTGGGTCACTTACCGTATAATGTGACTTTACTTCATCACAGTGTGGCGTTAGTTGTTGGTGTTGATAATAATGGAGTGGATTTTGCTGTTTAGACTAGTGTGAGGAGCTGGTCCCCGGCCTCGCTTTGGTCCGGCCAGAGATTTGGTCCGGCCAGAGCTTGGTTCCGGCCACGGCTAGACATGGCCTGACCAAGTTGTAAGGTGGATAAATAAAAGTTTACATTGTCTTCTGTATATTGTATATTAACTGAAATAAGTTATAAACAAGATATGTGTAACTTTTTTACCAATAAATAAAATGTCAAAATTCTTATAAATGTCACTATGTAGACATTATTTTTTGTCATGTAAAATAAGTCACGAACTTATCTTGAAAAATAAGTTTAATAATATCCCAAATTGTAATGGACTTCTTAAATTAATTCTTTAATTCAGTTGTATATTGAAATATGTTTGTAGATTACTTTGTGCACTACACCCAGATCTCCTGTTTGGTGGGTGTAGTGTAAACATTTCCCTGAGTGAGAGTTGCCACGGTAAGAGCGAAGGACGTGACGGTGGTAAGAGCTCAGTGAGGCAGTTTGTGGTGTTGTAAACCTTAGTCTTCCCGGCCGTTGTGTACAAAAGGATGGAATAATATATTACTAGAGAAATATTTATGTGAGGAGGAGGAGGGAGTGTCTGGCGGTGTGAGGAGGGAGGGGTCAGGCACGAACACTGTCCTCAGGCTCCGGAGTGGATAGTGGAGTTATCCGCTTCAGGAGGCTGGTTCCCTGTGAGACAGTAGCGATCCTTTGTTTACATGGCCGTCCTCTCACACCCATCCGGACCCCCCCCCCTGTACCTACTATGTTGCTGGTCAATAAATGTTTTGTAGTTGGAATAATTATGTTTTTATTTCCTTTATTAAAATGATTGAGAAAATAACAATGATCAGATGTACAGTAAACTGGTCTTCTGTTCTGTACATAAAAACAGCATCTGATTGGCTGATTAACTTTTTTATTTTAATTACCTTCATATTAAACCAGATATCAGTGGGGTTTTTTGTACTGAATAATTATGGTAAATTATTCAGAATTATTCATATATACAGTTGCAGAATTATTTGTACTCTGATTTTTTTTTATTACGTAGAATAAATATGACCTGAACTATATTCCTCAGATCGTATATCACAGTGAAATATATGATGTATGAAATATATTAAAGCATAAATAAATAAATAAATTACTTAGTGGAATAATATCTTACTCAGTTTGTTAAAGAGGTGTTCAAACTGTCACTGAATAGATGTTAATGTACTCTGAGATGTACTCGTGGTAGAGTACTGGCGAATCTGGTGACTATTTCTATACAATTACAGTGAGGAGTTGTATCTGTATCTGAGTGTGTGTACTGTGTGTGTGTGTGTACTGTGTGTGTGTGTGTACTGTGTGTGTGTGTGTGTGCGCGGAGGAGGAAAGGGCGCCGTAGTGTCTGGTCTGGACCACCGGGAGGAGGGAGGCGCCCACCAGTCTGTCGCCACTCACCCTTCAGGTATAAATATTGCTTCCCTCATACCGGGTGGGGGCTGGTGTCTGTGTCAGGTGTAGGCGGCGTCTGTTGTACTGCTCTAGGTTAGGTTAGATTAGGTTAAGTTTGGTTAGATTAGGTTAAGTTTGGTTAGATTAGGTTAGGTTAGGTTTGGTTTGGTTTGGTTAGGTTAGGTTTGGTTTGGTTTGGTTTGGTTAGGTTTGGTTTGGTTTGAGAGTCAGATGTAGGTTTGGTTAGGTTAGGTTAGATAGCTCTGAATCAGAAGTAAATTTATATTAACTAAAACATCCTATATAAAAAAAAATAAACCTCACCTGAAGATTAAACACCCCAGAATCTTTCAACCTAATGACATAAACACCTAACCTAACCTAACCTAACCTAACCTAACCTAACCTAACCTAACTTAACCTAACCTAACCTAACCTAACCTAACCTAACCTAACCTAACCTAACCTAACCATAACTGATGTATTGTAGTTAATGACGAAACACAGCAAGACACAGTTAAGGATACAATAGTTTGACTGTAGTTAAAAGGAAAAAGGAATTTGTAAGGTAGAATAAATGGTCTTGTTTTGATAGGAGTTTTAAAAGGAGTTAATATGGAGATTATTTTTTTCTCTTGTTCCTTATCTTCCTTATCTTCTTCTTCCTACTCTGTCTTCCCTTCTTATTTCTTATTCCCTCTCCTACTCTTCATCCTCATTTTCCTCTTCGTCCTCCTTCTCTTCCTTACCCTTTACCCTTCTATCCTTTCCTTCTTCTACTCCTCCTCCTCTTATTTCTACTCTTCCTTCCTGTCCTGTTGTTCCTTCCCTCTCATACTCTTGCTCCTCCTCCTCCTACCTACTCCTTCCCCTCTTCCTTCGCCTACTCTTCCTTCCTCCTCCTCCTCCCCCTCCCCGCTCTATGGTCCCCACCAGACGGGGCAGAGTTACAGGGCGAGAAATTAATACACATTCCCGACCAAGTGAGCCAGTGAGTGTATCTCTGTCTCACCTCTGTAACCTGAGTGTGTGGTGGTGTGGCCTGCACGTGTGGTGGTGCGGCCTGCACGTGTGTGGTAATGTGGCCTGCACATGTGTGGTGGTGTAGGTGTGTGATAGTACAGTGGTGTAGTGGATGAGCTCCGTGGTAGATGATGTGTGTGGTACAACAGGTGTGTAGTAAAGCAGATGGCGACCTGTGGTGTAATGGTCAGAATGCTCACCCGGGTTCGATCCCCGGGCAGGGTGAAACTATGGGCTAAGTTACTTTACGCCATTTGCCTCTGTCTACTCAGCAGTAATTGGGACCTGGATGTTAATCGATTTGCGGATCGTATTCTGGGGTAATGGTTAGCCAGTGGAGTTGTCCGGTCTTCTCGGGCTATTCCTTGACACTGGGTCATGCAGCTCGTTAACTTAGGGTGTGGTTGTTGTGTTGGCGACAGCTTCTACACCTTAAACAAATTCACGCCTAGGTGGCCCTTGGGCCGGCCATCCTCGTTACACGAGGGGCAACCATTATAACTAAAGCAAATGTGTGATACAGCTGTTCAGTAAAGCAGGTGTGTGATTAAACAGATATCTTAAGCTTATTGAAAGTTTACAAATACGTGACAGTAAATAATTGACACTTGTCCTCCCTCTTGATCTACTATTAGTGTACGAGTCACCTGTGTGTCTTCTTATCATACAGGTAAGTAGTGATGATTAATACTGTTGATGTTTCTTTCACGTTGCTGCTACTACCCACCATCCCCCACCATCCCTCACCACCCCTCACCACCCCTCACCATTCCTCACCATCCCTCACCACCCATCACCATCCCTCCTCATCCCCCACCATCCCTCACCACCCCTCACCATCCCTCACCATCGCTCACTCACCACCCCTCACCACCCCTCACTATCCATTTATGTTTGTTAGTGATTGGGGATAAATGTGTTTTAAATAGTGAGTGAGGGTGAGTATAAACATCGCTCGCTCTATACAAACATCATCACATCTGTCTCTCTCAAATTATGTTAGATAGTTGTTGATTATCTCCCCCCTCCCACCCCTCCCTCCCCCCCCTCGTGTTGATGTTTACGTATCATCAGTGTGTATCAACAGAGGTGGTTCCTGCCGCATTAAACTGATCACTGTCTAGTTGTGTCATGGATTGCGTCACTCTGCGTCACTCTCAAATGGTTTTTATATACGCATAGTTTATATATATAGTATATGCAATGCTGTCCAACACTGTCAGGATAACGTGGAATATATGATTTTCAGGTGTGGAGAGAGAGAGAGAGAGAGAGAGATAGATGTAAACACGACAAAATTTTTTTTTTTCACCGGCGTCAACTATGGCTGGGGAGGTCCGTGGAGTCTATGGTTGGTCGCTTATGGTAACTCCTCCTTCAGTAAAACACACACACACACACACACGCACACACATACGCACGCACGCACGCACACACACACACACACACACACACACACACACACACACACACACACACACACACACACCTTTAAGCTTGTGGGTGATTGGTTGTAACACTCATGAATTACTAATCTTGAAGTGTTTCTTGTTTTTATCTTTCTTATCCCTCCTTCCTCTCCCTCCTTTATCCCATCCTTGTTTCCCCCTTCGCTTCTTCTCTCACTTAACCTCCTTCGCTACTCTCCCTCACTTAACCTCCCCCTTCGCTACTCTCCCCTCACTTAACCTCCCATTCTCCCTCACTAAACCTCCCCTTCTCCCTCACTTAACCTCCGCTAATCTCCCCCACTTAACCTCCTCCCCTGCTACTCTCCCTCACTTAACCTCCCCTTCTCTCCCTCACTTAACCTCCCACTCTCCATTTCCCTCACTTAACCTCCCTCTTTCACTTCCCTCACTTAACCTCCCTTTGCTACTCTCCCTCACTTAACCTCCCCCTTCGCTATTCTCCCCTCACTTACATCTCTCCCCTCTCCTCTCCTTTCCTCATCTCCCGCTTTCAGTTCTTATACCATCCCCTCCCATCACCCTCCCTTTCCCCCCCTTCCCATCTTCTCTACTCTCCCTATCCCTCCCCCCTCCTACAATGGCCACCAGCCAATGACAACAAAGTGGTCAGTGTGTTAAGCGAGTGCCTCCCACGACCGCGGTGAGGGAGGGAGGGAGGGAGGAAAGGGGTGAGGGAGGGAGAAAGGAAAGAGGTGAAGGAGGGAGAGAAGTTAGAGAAAGTGGTGAGGGAGAGTGGAAGGGAAAGAGGTGAGGGAGGAAAAGAGGTGAGGGAGGGAGAGAGAGGGAGGTAGGGTGCGTTGCGTGGCCTGGCTGGCGGGGCGGTCGCTACACACCATCTGGACAGTATAAATGGATACTTTTGGCAAACTTGGCGTTGACAGATTGGCAGCCACGCGTTATATTAGCGAAGTATACCCTACCACTGGTGTATTGAGGAAGTATACCCTACCACTGGTGTATTGAGGAAGTATACCCTACCACTGGTGTATTGAGGAAGTATACCCTACCACTGGTGTATTGAGGAAGTATACCCTACCACTGGTGTATTGAGGAAGTATACCCTACCACTGGTGTATTGAGGAAGTATACCCTACCACTGGTGTATTGAGGAAGTATACCCTACCACTGGTGTATTGAGGAAGTATACCCTACCACTGGTGTATTGAGGAAGTATACCACTGGCGTTATATCAGAAGTATACCTTAATAGCAGTGGTTATGACAGTAATATACCTGTTCTTTTCCGTCGTTGTCACAGGTGTGAAGATTATGTTAAAAGGTAGATGTTTTATTATACAGGAAACGTATTAATGATAACACTCAACTATTGGGATTATCATAAGCAGGTGTAGTAATTAGATCAAACAGGTGTGATAATTAGGACAAAGAGGTGTGATAATTAGATCAAGGAGGTGTGATAATTAGGTCAAGGAGGTGTGATAATTAGGACAAGGAGTTGTGATAATTAGGACAAGTAGATGTGATAATTAGCATAAGCAGGTGTAATAATTAGGTCAAGCAGGTGTGATAATTAGGTCAAGCAGGCGTGATAATTAGGACAAGTAGGTATAATATCACAAGCAGGTGTGATAATGAACAGAGAGGTGTATAAAGAACAGACAGAAGAAAGAGAAAGAAAAAAGAAAGATAGAAAGAGGAGAAGAAGAGAGAAAAAGGCAAGGAAGAGAAAATAAGATAAAGAAGAGAAGGAGAAGAAGAGAGAGAAGAAACGAAGAAATAAAAAAAGAGAAAATAAGAGAGAAGATAAAGAAGAAGAGATGGAAAAGAAAGAGAGAAAAAGAGAAGATAAAAGAAGAAAGAGAGAAGATAAAGAAGAGAAGGAGAAGAAAAAGAGGAAAAGAT